ACACATACACGTCGTCACAACGTGCTTCACCGCCTGCGCCACTGTAATATATCCAGCTATCCATTTAAATTATTTCTACATATATCCGCATATCCATACACACTGCGTTTGCTGACAGGGATGTGAACACATCCTCGACACAAACAAAAACCAGGAGTACGAGGTCATGTGGCTGGCGAAGAGGCAGGAGCAGCCCTCCTTGCTCATCAATGTATAAGAAGAAGGAGAATGGTGGACACGACGAAGAGGAAGAAAGAGCGAAAGAGAGACAAACATCCGGAGTATTTTATTTTACATTTTATTTTTTTGCGAAGGGGTACACCCCTTTACAATTATTTATTTGTTGTTTGTGCAGTATACCAGCATGTGTTGCCAAATAATAACCCTTGGACCAGATCCCACAAACCTTCACTACCGCTTGAATTGAAACAAGGAGACACAAAAGTAGAGTGTATAGTTTCTTTTTATGTGGGACGAGATATCAAGTGTGATGCACACTCAGTATGATCACCGTCACTACCGACAAGAAAGAATGGGGCGTTGTTGCGGTGGTGGAGCTTAGATGTTCATCTTCTCGCGAGCTTCGCCCTTGAGACGATCGCCCTTGCCCTCGGCCTGCCACTGCTCATTGCCGAGAAGGTTGCCGGCGGTCTCCTTGATGTTGCCCTTGAGCTTGTCCTTCTCGCCGATGGCCTTCTGTTCGGCCCTGGCAGCCTCGAGCTGGGCGTCGCCCTTGGCGCCCTGGGCCTTGCCCTCGGTCTCCATCTGCTTGTTGCCCATGGCCCAGCCGGCGTTCTCCTTCACGGCGCCCATGGCCTTGTCTCCGTAGGCGGACGTCTTCGAGGGCTCGTTCGACGACATGTTGCTGGTGGTAGTTGGTGTTGGTTGAAGAGTTGGTAGTTGTAGTTGTTGTGGTTGAATGATGAATGCTGGTTCGCAGAGCCTTTTTGTAGGTGGTGGAGAGACGTTGATGTAGCCAAACCGAACGAAAAGCCAACGGCCGATAGGTTGGAGCGCTATCGAAATTTAGAAGAAGTTGTGCCCCTGTTGGTCAATTTTAAGGTTCGCCCGAAATCCCTCTCAACCTCTTCCCTTTGACTTCTCGCATGTTTGCGTACTGTTACAACTGTTGGCCTAAAAAGGAGCGTGGGTGCAAAGTGCAAAGCGCTGTACCAGCTGAAGAGGAAGGTGGGGATGAAGTGGTTGATGAACTGGCAGTCCTGCTCCAGGGTGTGCGCCCACAGCTTGGAGAGGTTGCAGGGCGTACAGCAGTACCACGTGAAGCCTGCAAACAACAACAACAACAACAACATTATGAGCCTCGAGGTGAAATGATGTGTTTTGAAAGAAGAAGAAGAAGAAGTGGGAAGGGCGCCGTACAGCAGTAGAGGCCGTCGTTGAAGTTGCAAGGGTCTCCGCAACACCTTTGAGGGCGAAGAGGAAAAGAAAAGGATGAGGAAAAAAGAGGCAGAGAGACAAAGGAAGAGCCCTAAGACTAGTAGTAGGGTCCGTACGGGCTACACTTCCACAGCTCCCAGCAAGCGCCACCAGCTCCGGGCCAAACAGGGTTCAGACACGCCATCTTCTT